GCCAAGCTAATATGCAGTGCAAGGGATAACATATTTAGATGTCTGTGTTGGATTTGGGAGGCTGTGAAGCTCATCATTCCTGCCTTTTCTTATCACATAGTTGACTGCAGCATTCTGCTACCATGCAGCCTGTCAGGAATAGAGGTATTTCTGTCAAGGGAAAGAAAGAAAGAAAATTCAGTCCTTTTCTCTTTCTGCTCTGTTGCTTCAGGAGATGCAGAGCAGAGTAATGTGACCCCTGAGGATCTCTGCAAATAGTGAGATGAGGATATATAGAGAAGGCAAAAATCAGCTACAGGACACCATGCATTGAGAAATTCCAGATTCAATTGGCTTTTGATACCCCAGACTTTAGGCTGCCTTTTTGGTAGTAGGCATTATAGATGATGTTGTCTTAAGGCAGCAGAAAACACCATCAGGGCTCTTCCACAGACACAGCAGGGATGGGGTGGTGTGTTGTCAGTGAGCCATCCAATTCTTACACCGAAATCACTCTTTTGATAGTCACTTTTTCCACATAGATGTCAGAATTAGTGATTCTTTATTGGTGGTAAAGGATTTTGTCAATCATTTCTCCCTTGAAATGAAAACAATGCGATTAATAATGCTGAAAAGAAATGCTTCACAAAGGACTGGAAAATGTACTGATTTTGAGTCCTAGTGAAAAATAGAGACTTCAGTGTGCCACTATTTTAAAAAAAATTATGTTCTGACAAGGCTTCTTTTGGTAAAGAGTCACACACCAGGGGAGATGAGGAGGCAATGACTGTCTGCTTGTTGTGTCAGATGTGTCTGTGTGTGTGATGTGATCCTCCTTGCTTAAAAACACTCTCAGGTGAGACCTACCTGCAAAGATTATGCTCATTAGAGCTTCTCTCCAGCTGCAGGGGCAGGGACTGTGGCTCACATGGCTGGCATCCAGGATTTTCTAAACTGCATTTGGAGAGTTTCCCACTCCTTTCAGTTGCCTGGCTGTCCTCAGCAGCTGCCTCAGACCTGCTCTTAATCCCAAATTTCAGCCAAGGCTGGACCTTGTGTACCAAGGCAGGGAGGTCTTGAGCTAGAGATGTCTTCCCTCCTAGGACACAGACTGCCCTGTTTGGTACACTTAGGACATGATGAAAATATAATTTATTTAATCTAATCACTTTAACATTGGCCATACTGCCACTGCCCTTCAGATTTCTGGTTTGTGTTTGTGATACTATTTTTCTTCCCCCTGAAAACGGAGCTCTTTATATCAGTTCAAGTGGCTGCCAAAGAGTGAGGAATTTGCCTTTGTATGAGGCTTTTAAAGTAATTATTTATGATTCTGAGATGATTGGATATGTTTCAGTGTCAGCACTGGGTATGCATTTTCAAGAATGCTATTGAAACTTTCATACAAAAGAATCCACTATGTATGTTCCTAGGATATTATTTTTTTTGATTAAAGAAAGTATTGAATGCAGTGCTATTGAATAAACTCTCATTTAATCTTTCAAAACATCCGCAGTGCTTTCCTCCTTCCAGGACAGGCTGAATTTAAACAAATGCCAAGCAAAGAAGAAGGGGACAGAAACATTTTTTTGATGTTACAACTCTTTTGCTCTAACTGGGACTAGTTATGCTGAATACATAATCACAAGCTCAGAAGGTTAATTTTTTGTTGAAGGGAGCTTCTCCAGCAGGAGTTTGAAAAGTCACAGTGTGATTGATGTCAAGGAAGGCTGAAGTTGCACTGGCCATGAGCTTGTTCTGTGCAATAATGTGAGTTAACCTCAGTGAACAATCAACAGCTGCAGTCTTGGACTAGCAGAGCTTCCAGATTATGACAAAATAAGAGACCTCGAGTTTTTTATCCTTGAAAGGTAAATGAAAAAGTTAAAAGAAGAACTTTGTGGTCAGTGTTCTAATAGGGTCAGTATGGCTTTAGACACTTTCAACAAAATGGATCCTGACATCCCTTGTTACCTAGTTTTCTGTCACACATGGAAAAAAATAAGTTCATAAAACAAAAAGATTAATGAAAAGGAAAGAAATCTATTTTAGATTTTAATAATGGTTTTTATTCTATTAATTTTATTTATCTTAATTTTATAATTATTTAAGTTTTAGATTTCATAATGTTGCCTTAGAGATATGTTTTGCTAGGTGGGCAACAGTGCTCCTCCTCTGCTTCAGGCAAAAGTTCAGAATTTATTTCTGGGCTATGTGCCTGGTCAGTTGTATCTTTATATGTAGATCACTGTGCTAAAATGCAGAGGGATTTACAGTTCAAGTTGTAGTGATCTCTAAGAGAGTTCACTAGGTCAATCAAATTCTCTCTTTAAGATTATAAATCAGGTTAGATCAAGTGACAAAGACACACAAGCACTTTCTTGGCTTGGAAACAAAGCAGAAGTATTGTAGAAACAATTCCTCCATCTTTAAGTTTGCTCAAATGTTTGTTTATATTGTTGGTTTTGCTGTTTGAAACTGGAGCAAATATAGGATTGTCTTCTTTCTAATAAGCTGGAAACAAAAACAGACACATTTGTCCTGATGAGGTCCTTTTTACTGCACAGCACTCTCCCAAGATGATCTCCATTCATGGCTCTCTTCTACTGAAGCCTTCTCTTAAAAGCTGCTGGGAAAGAAACTTTGGGTGCATTTTCCCAGTTGTGAATAATCTGTTCCTGTGGTATGGATGCAGTTTGGATAAATGACATTTTGTGTCTTGCATGGCACTTCAGGCTCCGTGCGTGACACAGTAATGCTGTTCTAGGCAGCAGAAGTGTTCAGAAGTGGGTAAGGACACATTGATGCCATCAGTAGTTCATAATCTCCTTTCCCATATAGAATCACTTCTTTTCTGAAAGATCTTCTAGGGCTGTACTTGAATTGTTTAATTTATGCAATAAATTTTCTTTCCTTCTCGGTACGTCTCCTGTACTGACTGTGTGCTTCAATGGGAAGGAATGGCCTTATTTCTTCTGACTGTCTAATCTAATTAATCTGTTTCATTTATTCAGTAATTAGACCATGCAGGTTTTTTTTTTTCCTCATGAAGTAGAAGACAGGAGGGCTGAACATCTGTGTTTGTTCCTGTGGAGTGTGTCTGGTTGGAAAAAGGGCATCCTCCAGTGCCATCCTCCACTTGAAACAGGTGTTTGAAGTTCATCCCTTTTGGATGACTTTGAACCAAAGGCAGGGAAAGCCTACTGGGCAAGGAAGCATCAAACACCTTGTAGGCCCTTTGAAAGAGTTAGATCTCTCTCTGATCTCACTGGTTTCAGTCAGGCTATTAGGTCTTTAAGCATCTTGTCTATGAGGATTAATCTGTACTCTTAATTGTCCATTCCTGATGGGTTCTGTCACTCCAAGTATGCTAATTCTGCCTTAATAACTATGGCATAAAAACACTTGTTATTCTGCTTATAACATTCTTCACTTAAAAGCCTTCCCTTTGAAGCCTCTCAGCTGCTCCATAATTGGGGTGATGGGGGGTGAGAAGCATGAGAAGAGCCATAGCACTTGGTAAATCATTTCTTCTGGAGTTCTCTGGGCTCCTGGAGCAAGGGGAGTGTCACCGTGTCACCTTTTTACTGAAAACCTGCTGGTAGCAAGCTGTCAGTATTGACTCCCAGGCACTTTGCATTAGAAGGGGATCTAACATCTGCACTTGCCAAGTGTCCTGTGGGCTTGGACAAGACTTTGTGTGCAGCTGGGAGCAGCGTGCATTTGTATGTGATGGAAGGGAAGTGCCACAAAGATGGGTAGTGGAGAAGGGCTGGGACAGAGCTGGGACTATTCAGCTTTTAGAGAAGACTCGGGGGAATCTTATCAATGTTTGTAAATAGCTGAAGGGAGGGTACAGAGAAGATTGGAGTGAGGCTGTTTGCAGTGAGAGGAACAGAAGCACAGACTGAAACTGAGGAAGTTCTGTCTGAACATGAGGAAAATTCTCTTGCTGTGACAGTGATTGAGCGCTGGCACAGGCTGCCCAGAGAGGTTGTGCAGCCTTGTGGTTGGAGATCTTTAAAAGCTGCCTGATACAATTGTGGGCAGCAGGCTCTGAGTGCCTCTGCTTCAACCAGGCACTTGGATCAGATGTCCTCCAGGGCTCCCTTCCAACCTCAACCAGCCTGAGATTCTGTGAAGTTTTAATACAGGGCATCATGGGGGCCATGACCTGATCTGAGATGGAGGTTTAATTTAATCAATTAAAGAAAATACTTTAAATTTTTGTATGCATGAGATTTTGGGGAGACCTCTACTTTCTTTTAAAGCTATAAATGAAAAATTAGTTTTTGTGTTTATACAGAAAAAAGATCAGAAGTATAACTTCCTTAAAAACGAAAATAGTATTTAAGACTCAAATTCGAATGCTCTGTGTATTATGAAAATCTTTTTATTTTAGAAAGTTGGTCTTTAATTTTTCTTTTCAGTTTCTTGTATTTTTTCTTTTTCAACAAACTTCCCTCGTCCCCAGTATTGGATTTATACATTATATATTCTGGATGTGTAGAATTTCTCTACATGTCTTTTTTGAGTCTCAAGTCCATGAAGTGCTCATATCTGATCCAGTGTTTAATGGAATGATGTGCTCATATCTGATCCAGTGTTTAATAGGATTCAGGTTATGCAAAGAAGGTTGATAATGCTGCCCTGTTCTAGTGAAGTGCTTGAGCATGGGCCTGAGTGGAAACATGCTGTGTGTGATGTTCAGGAGTGCCCATGGGAGAAAGGAGCCTGAATGCCATTGAGAGTGAAGAACACGATCCCAGCAGCTTTGGAATGTGATGTCTCCCCCTTGCTCTGCTCCTGCTGCCGTTCTGGAGCCAAGCTGTGGCTTTCATGCACCATCCCTTTACAGTCACACCTTGCCAGGCTTTTCTCTGTTAGGTTTCAATCCAGTGGTTTTAGCATAATTAATGAGGGAGTGTCTCTTTTGTCCTTCCCAAAGGTTAGAAAGAGTTGTTTTTCTTGTCTGTTGTAAAAGATGTGTAGCTCCTGACACACGGGCTCTTGTTTTGCAGGTCCCCAGTTTGCTGGTTGCCACCTTGTCACCTGGGATCACATCGAGTGCTCAGAGCTCCCATTCCTCCATCAGGTTCGTGAGCAGTTGTGATCAATTTATTGATTTGAAATAACTTTCTGAGGAGATAATTGCTTTTCAACTGTATGCCTCAGTGAGTGGCTTTTTAGAGAATAGAAATGACAATGTGCAGAAAGTGGTACACTTAATATAATGGATCAGACTGGTACCAGGAGATGTTGCTTACTGCTGATGTGGATTGTGTTTCCTTGTTTCCCCTGGGGTGTGGTGGCCTGGGAAGACACTGTACTGAGCCCTTTGCATGAGGGGACTGGAGTGGAAATTGAATTATTAGCCCAGCATCCTCTGTTTTTTCTTACTGGCAACCTAACTTCAAATGATGTGGTTGTTGTTTTCCTGAATACTGAGCACAACTGTATTCTTTCATACTCAGATAATTTTTATTTTTTTAACATTTATTTATGACAAATGCTGATACGAGAATTCACTGTTGAAGAAAAAATAATTAAAAATAATAAATAAAAACCTACGTACCAAAGTCATGCATGAAATCTGTCAGTCTTCATTATTTCTCCCAAATCTGCATTCTTTTGCACAGCTTATGTATTTTGAATAGGAAAAATACCCAGGTCCAATCCTTGGAAATCATGCTATAAAAACAGTGAAGGTGTAGAAGAACAGAATGTGGGAAGGAAAGGACAGATAAACAGATTTAAAAAAGAGGTGCTGCAGCACCTGGCAGAGTTGCTGTACCTATATAGTTGATCACCCAGCAACAAATGGCTGAGAGACTGAGATATATTTGGGATAATCTCACAGACTGCAGCTCCTGAAGTAGGCAGAAAGGAACATGATGATGCATAGGTGTTTATGTTCAGGCCCTTCTAAAGCCCTGTAGGGAAAAATATTTCAGAATCTTCTGGAAGACTAAAGCTGGAAATAAAACACTGCAATAACTTCCAAGTGGATATATCTGAAGTGGTGAAGCTTTTCTATAGAGGCTCAGTCTTTCTCCTTTATTTTATTTAAATACTTCCTATTTTGTTTTCCTTTAAACAGTTACAGGTGATAGAGTGACCAGTCCCAACGTGAGCAAAGTCAGATTTTGTCAGAAATCTAGAAAGAAAAAGAATTTCTGGCTTGCAGTTTAAAAGAAATTACAGGTGATAGCAAATAGTGATATTCACTGTTCACAAGCTAATGAAGACACTCAGAGGAACAATCACCATTACATGGTGTCCCTTTCCATTGGGAATTGCAGGTGATTTTTTAAGTCCACGTAGGTTTGTGGACTTTTGCAGCACATGTAAATTGAAGATTTGATTAAGGTCTATAGTGTGAAGTGGAATTGAAGTCCACTGGTGTTAACTGGTATCAACTTTTGACTTGGTTAATCTCACACCCTCAAAGGGTGGTGTTTCTTAGGACTTTTTTCATTGCTTGATTTTCAGTAATCCTTCTCCTGCTCCTACGTCTCTAGGTCTTGGATTGCTTTGGTTTTATGGTATTTGGAGTTGGTTTCCTTGTTGTGTGGGGTTTTTTCCTCCTTTTTTAAAAATGTATTTTCTTTGGTTTTGATGTGTATCTTTGACTCTATGACTTCCGTGTTAATTAACTATACTAGTGGAATTAAGATCTGTTCTATATTGTTAACCTTACCCTGTGTCAATCGAATCAGATTAATAAAATCTCAGTGATTTATGCTAGGAAATAACTCTTTTTGTTACTTTTTCTCCCTTCATTTTGTTTGTGAAAGCTAAAGTACCTGTTATGGCACAGGCCCCTCAAAAGGGCTGTTCTGTCCATGTAGGTTTTGCAATTAAATGGAGCAGGTAGCATAGTTGTTGGTAATGTGGCCATAATTTACCCACTAATATTGTCTTTAATTGGACTAGGGGTTTTTGTTTTACTTGCTACATTACTGTGTCAAAACTTGCTTTCCCCACTTTGCTTTCAGCTCTCGAACTGAATTACAGGTTTAGGCCAAGGAGATGCAGCAAACATAAACCTTCAGCAGTTGGACTGCCCCAGTTTTATGAATTGTTAGCGATTCTGTTGGTTTTGTATTGTTATATATTTAACTCAGCAGAGCTTCCAGGCAAGGTTTGAAGAAGAGTGGGAGGTTCTTTGTTTTCTTTGTTACTGTAAATATTCACACAGGATGACTGTATGATTTGGAGGATGCAGCTCTTAAGACCATATTTACTTGCTCATCCTTACAGCATTGTGCACAGAACTGCTGTATAAAGTGTGCAGGGGAAAAAAAAAAATCAAGCAAAATCTGTTCCTCTGCAGAAATTCCTTATCTGGAGTCTTTAAGGTGGTCTTTACAGACTAAAGACAAGCACTTTTTTTGTGGTGCAGGGCCTTTTGGGTAAACGTGGTGGATGAGTGAGTGCTGGGGGCATTGGTTTGGGCTGACAGTGAATGTGTTTGATTATGCATATGGTGAGTGTTTGTACTTCATACAAAAGAAATGTGAGTCTCCCAGGTAGTATTTCATCATGGAAATCAGGTAGTGTGGATTGTTATCTCAGGAGTACTGTCACTGGGAGGTGAGATTTAACCAGAATAGTCACTTCTGCTGTGCAGACAAGGTGATGACCTCGTGGAAAAATGTCACACTGTGCTGTTCCTTTCAGTGACACCAAGAGGGGGGAGAGGCTGCCTGTGTCACTGTAGTACTTGCACACAGACAAGGAGTCTAGACCAGGAGCTGTCAGGTTGTAGATTCTGGGGGATTTAAAAGGATCTTTGTGCCATGAAAAGGCTTCCTACCTGCATGCCTGATGTTAGGAGTGGAGTCGTTGTGGAGAGGAATAATGCTTCACTTTCCCCCCAGTGTTTGTTTTACTTTAGCTCTTCTGCTTCTTGCCTCACTGCTGACAAGGAGGCTGGTTTGCCATACTAAACACCTTAGGGCTGACAGGATGGAGAAAACCTACAGGCTCCTTTGACAGCAGTAATCAATAAGAAGTGAAAAAATCTCACTCTGAGAAGCACTTTTCCAGCTACAAATGGCAGTGGAAGTCCTGAAGGTGAAACTGTGATTTTTAGCCCAAATTTTCAGCGAAGGACCAGGAATCTGAGACCAGGGAAAAGATTTGCAAACAGAGTTTCTTGCTGCTCATCTCTGTGTACCTCAGCCGAGGGGAGAACTACATTGTGTGAGACAGTCCTCCAAAATGCCTTCCTCAGCTCATCAGCTGGGGATTTGCTTATTGCATCCCCCAGGACTTAGACTCAGAATTGTTAAGATTGGAAAAGACCTTTATGATCATCTACCCTAACCATTAACCTGGCACCACCATGTTCATGTCACTTGGAGTGCCTCATCCACACATTTTTTGAGACTTCCAGGGGTGATGATTGCAGCACTTTCCCGGGCAGCCTATTCCAAAGCCTGTCCATCCTTTAAGTGAAGAAGTTTTTCCTAATATCTAATCTAAACCTGTGCTGGTGCAACTTTAGGCCATTTCCTCTCATCCTGTCACTTGTTACCTGCCACTCACCACCACCTCTGGGTCCAGCCATCCAGGTTTTTGCCCAGTGAGCAATGCACCCACCCAAAGCCAGGAGCAGCCAGCTTCTCCAGGGCAGTGCTATGGAAACAGCATCAAAGGCTTTACCAAAATCCACGTGGACACATCCACAGCCTTTCCATCATCCACTAGACAGATCACCTTGTCACAGAAGGAGGTCAGGTTGGTCAAGCAGCCTCCCAGCTGCCTTTCAGAAACCCATCCTGGCCATGCCTGATGCCTTGGTTGTCCAGTATGTGCCACATGCTGATACTCAAGGCAATCTGCTCCGTGACCTTCCCTGGCACCAGGGTCAGGTCTGCAGTTCCCCAAATCCTCCTCCTGAGCCTTCCTGTAGATGGGCAGTACAGTTGCTGACTTCAGCCAGCTGGGACCCCCCTGGTTCACCAGGACAGCTGACAAATGATTGGAATTGTCTTGGCAAACTCTTCCACCAGCTCCTCAGTGCCCTCGGTGGATCCCATCAGGGCTATAGGATTGTGTGTATCTAGATGTGTAGCAGGGCACTGAGCATTGTCTCCTGGATTATGGGGGCTTCATTCTGCTCCCCATCTCTGCCTTCCAGCTCAGGGGGCTGGGTACACTGAGGATAACTGGTATTATGAAAGACTTGCTGCAAGAGCTTTCATTATCATACTGCAAGTTCCTCCAAAGTTCCCCCTTGCCTTATGAGAGATGGTGAATTTCTTCAATTCTTGTGAGAGCCAATGGAAAATGAGGAAACCTAATCAAAACTAGGCAGAAGGAAGGATCAGAATTAGTTTTTTAACCTAACAGGACTGATTTATTTTTAAAAATAAGTAAGCCATTTCTATGGAAGAAAAAAGTTTATTTCTTTCCAAATAGATTTAATTGCCAGCAAGTCACATTGAAAATGGCAATAACAACTTGTAATTACAAATGGGGATAGACAGAAATTCCCAGAGCACCTGGTTAATCAAAAAATAGAGGCTGAAGAGTGAGTATTTTTCATGCTGTGTTATAGTGATAATGGCAAGTCATTCAGAGAGCACAATAGGAAAAGTTAGGTCTAGCTGATATATTCTTGTTTTGTGACTCTGAGTAATTGTTAATACGGACTCTTGTCTTCTGTTGTCTTTATTTTGCAGGAAGCAATGCAAGCAAATAAGTATGTCTGTATCCCATATTGCTGTCTTACTCACAACTTAGCTGCTTATTTGGTTGCTATTGAGTTTTTATTCCCTTTATGTTAGTTGTGCAGCTAGGGAATTTGGTGGTAATAAAAACACAGGGCTCTTGCAGCACGCTTGGTGCTGATACATCTCAAAGTATGTGATAACCTCACAGTGCAGATATGTGCCAGGGAAAGCAGTTTGCCCCCATGGTCACTTGGCTGGCAGGAGAACTGGGATAAAGATCCCTGGCCTTGGGTCTCAGCTCAGGGCTCCCTCTGTCCGACCATGCAGCCTCTGCTTTGGTTTTTTTCATAGACCTGTTAGTGGTATCATTCCTCCTAAGGCTGTGGGGAAGGTTTTAGATATTAAGCAGGTA